ATTGATGTTTAGATGTTCTTTAAGATGGGATGTTTTCAACTTGGAAGGTAAAATTGTCGTTGTTAGTGGGCAGGAATTCGATGGAGAAGAGGATGAAACGAGAAGGATTTTATGATTTTAAAGAGATTGTAATTTGTCTCGGACGAGCAACGCGTTAGTTTCTCACATTCGTTTTAGAAAGGAAGTGAAAAGGATTGGAAATGATAGGGGCGTTCATCGAGGTTTTTCCACGATCCACGAATAGTGGATCAATCCAAAGATGGGTTCAGCAGCGTTATGAAGAGAGAAAATATTAATTCGTTTCTTCTTCGGCGTCCATTAAAATCATCACGAGTGAAATAGCCGGCCGAGAAGAGGTTACAAATATCGTCTATATTCGTAGAGCAAGTAAACAGATATAAACGAAACGCGATAGGAACGAGCAATTAATTTGCAAGAGGGAAAGGTTGATCCCGTTTCAGTTTGAAATTCCACCGTTCCTCCCTCCATTGTGTACATTGGAGCGTCGATACGCTGGAAAAGACACGTTTTCAAAATCTCTACGTTTTTTTGGATCGGAATTATCTTGGAAAATCTTCGATGTAGTAATACTCATTGGCTCGAGTGTCTATTTTTGTGAACGTTCGAATTTGTTTCATTTGAAAATTCTCACTTTTAGAAATCGGGTGGGATAGATGTTATTATTGTGTTTCAACGTTGAGAAAAGTTTCAAGAAAATAACGAATGTGTGATGTTTTACGTACGTGATCAAAATGAACGAAACGAAAACGAAACGAAAATTTCGCAAAATTTGCGTTTTTTGTACACCAGATGTGCAAAAGCCAGATGTGTAAAATGCGTTTTGATACGACGAGGGAAATCAACATTGTACGTTTTGCTGGAACATAGAAACGGAACGTAGTTACGAAAAAATATTTGGCAACGTATCGACGATCGGATTTTGGTGAGCTTGCCATTCCGTTCGAGCAAACTTTTCCCCCTCGCAGGGAACTGGTTCATATTGTCGTTTTTCACACGCGTACTTCTTGTAACACGCGTGCATTTTCGATACGAGGTTGAAACCAAGTTTCTAAACGATTACATTAATTTTCGTATTTTTCGAGCGTGGCGGTGTTTCACGCTATTGGAAAGAGTTGGACAGTTTCTCCTCTCCTCTCCTTTCGCTTCAATGTGGATCTTTGGAAAGGGAGAAACCAAAGAATTTTTCTCCCTCTCCACTTAAAATTGTTGACAAAATAATTAGTCGCTTAATAATAATCATCTAGCCAATCAACTCGTCGTTAAAAGTTCTCTTCTAATCTAATCGACGTGAGGATTGCATAGAAGAAGAAGAACAAAAATCCTACGCTCGATTTTTCAAAAGAAGAACGTTAACGTTTACGTTAAAAGAGGCTGTAATATAATTTTCCTCGCGCCGTCTTAATAACAATCAAATTTAATACGAGCACGAAGTTCAGATAAAACTTTGAAAAGCTGGAACGAGTTCAGAAGTGCCATTAAATTAGTGGAAAATCCTCTTTCTTTCTTTTTACGAAAAAAAGAACAATAAAAAAAAAAAAAAAAGAAATAGTTCCATGGAATCGTTAAAGTGGGGACGTTTGCAAACATTCCGTCGACGGGATCGTTAAAGGCACATTTTTCCGCGACGAATCGTGGAAACGCATCGTTTGTTATCACCATTTTGGTAATAAAATTTATCACTTTGTTGTTTCGTATCCAAAAAGTATTTCCAATGTTTCCTTTATTATTATTATTATTATTATTTTATTCTTTTTTTTTTAATTGGATCGCAAAGAAGGGGAAGCAACACGTAATTGGGGGAGCAATTGAGGGTGAGAATCGCGGAACAAACGGGGTTAATTACGTCGATATGGCGACGATAAAGGCGGGGACACACCATTAAACAATCGCGCAATGCGAACACGAGCGTGTGTGTGTATACCGGCATTGACCCCGTAATTTTTAATTGCGATCGCGTGTCGTTATTACAACCCCTTATCGTCGACACGTGAAAGTTGCATGGAAAAACGCGAGAATGGTGGAAATTTCTGTTTCTTCAACGTGGAAAATATGATCGGTGAGTTCAGAGTCAATCCTTTGGCCATGTTTGAAGGCTGGTATCCGAGGAATAAAATATCTTTTCTTAAAATAAAAAAATTGAAAAAGAATGGTTGAAAAAGAAAAACCGATAATTTTTTCGTCCAATCCCATGGAAATATTGATACGTTCGAAGCAAATGAATTCGAATTGATTTCTATTAAATAAATGGAGAAAGGATCTTAATTTGCAAAAATTTGTTATATAAATGGAAATTTTGTTATTCTTTTATCACAAGAAATAATAAGCCAAAAATAACTTCCTTTCGTCATTCTAAAAAGAAATCAATTTATCCTTACCAATAATAATAATAACAACACTTAACACACTCGTTATCCATTCAATCCATTTCATCTTCTTTTTTAAATCACTTCCAGATCAATTTTCAATCCCCCCCCGATTATCGTTAACGCGCCTATAGATTATAGCCAATTAAATGTTAATTACATCTGTAAGTAACAATATTATGCATAAAGTAACGTAATTACATCGTTATTATCACGTGTACACACACACACACACACAAATATATATATAATTATCGCAAATATGTGGTGAAGGCAGTAGGAGAGGAGAGGAAGGTTTGGAAATTTTATCGCCCGTCCATACATCGCTACGCTTCTGAATTATTATGCATTAAATGAAGATGAGAAAGTATGGCGCGGAACACTTTGGCGGAAAACCGCCGCCGCCGCCGCCGCCCGGCTTTGGATGCATGGATCGTCGGTACAAGAGTGCCCCTTTGTGCGCAACGTCGCGTGCCGTGTCACGCTGGCAAATTTCCGCGCTGACGTTGGCTGCCGCCGCGTTTGTTATACGTGTTGTTTATATACGGGCAATAATTTATTACTCGCCCCCGCCACGAGGATCGTTAATATCATAGACGTCAGTACGGGGAATGCGGAGGAATTGTATCGCGTTTTAAACGACGAGACGATTCAACGCTCGATTTTCGCCTTAATGCGATCACTTTCAACTTCAACTTTTGTGAAGATTCGAGTAATTTTCCATCCATCCTTCTCGTGGAATGTTCAATTATTACGAATTCGAGTTGATATATATATATATATCGAGTTTCACAATAAGGAGTTATAATTTAATATTGGATAGCCCGCTGATGGAATTGGAGTGGAATTCAAAGGGTAGTGAATTTCACAACAAAGGGTTAAAATACGGTACTCTCAACGGGTTCGATATTTCGCTTGGGAATTGGGATGGAATTAAATTCAAAAGGAATTAAATTGATTTCACAAATTTCACAAGAATGGGGCGCGACTCGTTGGAATTAAATTCGAAAATTTCACAACGAAAAAAAGAATTCGCATCTCCGTTCCTTCTCCTCCATTCACGCGCTCACTGCGAAGGAAGGAATTCGCAGTTGGAGGGAAGGGTTACGTTCTCGTGTATCGATTCGGGTGTAAAGTTAAATTTCTCAGAGGAGGCGTCGCGAGATGCGAGGCTGTGGGTGGCAATGGGCAAACCCTTTTTTTCTTCGTCGAATAAAAGTTGACGCGTCAAGGTTCCAAGGCGGCAATGGCATCCCATCCGGAAAAGTTGAAATTATAAAAATTTCAAATTTCCAAACGGGGTGACAGACGACAGAAGACGTACGATTCGGCCGCCTGGGATGGCCACTGTCGCGGTTTCGAGCGTGTGAACTTCGCTTCAACTTCGAACTTGGAAAATTGGAAACCGTTGGCAAAAAAAAAAAAAAAGAAGAAAAAAAGAAAATTGTTTCCTCTTTGATGCCTGTGGCGTCACCGAAAAATAACTTCCTTTCCTACGATCATTCGACGTTGGCTTGGTTACGTGTTCGTGCTCGTGGTTGCGGTCTTTTGAAAGGTTTTCGTGATTCTGTTTTTTCCTCTCTCTCTTTTTTGGAGAGAGAAGATTTGGAAATCGTACGAATTACCGAATATGGAGGAATGTAAGTAAAAATGCATGTATCGTTGCAAGACACATACAGGTTGATTTGAAATAGTAATCGTGTATAATATTTGAATATTACAGCGAGTGTTGTGTGAAAATTAAAGATGAGTATTTATTGCTTTTCCGTAAAAAGTCGTATGGAAATTGACTTAATCGATTTAATTTGTATCACTTGTAAACTGAATTAATTTAATTTCTTTATGCTTTTTTTTGAACTGGTTTTATATAATAAAAAAGTTGTGGTTCGTTGTGTTAAAAATACACAACGTATAACGAATTCTAGAATATCGAATACAGAAATATAAACGCGAATAAAGTGCGTATGTTTATATAAAGGTAAAGGTAAGGCGTGGATTCGAAGGCGTGTCGAAATATAAACAAAATCGAAACGAGCAGAGGTGAAAGTACGACGAAATAAATTTAGTCGACACGTGGCCATCGAACGATACGAACGTGTATATCATCCATTTCTCTCCCATCTAATAAATTTATTTTCGTCCAATATAATTAAATCTTTACGTTAATTGCAATAAATAAACAAGTAAGTTGAAATTTAAATTTTTTCTCTTTCCAATTCTTCTTTCTCTTGTTTTTTTGCGTATTTTTAAAAGTTGAAACACAAATATCGCATTATTCGATGATTTAAATTCTAACTTTTTTTCTCGACTAAAATAATTTAAAATATTTTAAATTGGAATTTTTATAAATTTTTAATTAAACACAAACGAAACGCGATTCCATCCGCCACCTTTTTCGTGAAATTTTATAACAGAACCATTTGTAAAATTTCTCGAATAACAGAAGATATTTGATAAAATAACACACGGATTGCGTTCAATCTTGAAAAGCACAATCTTCACGATTCGAAAGGGAATTATTTTAAAAATTAATACGCCATTTAATATCGCGAGCGATCGATAATAAACTCGAGCAAATTAATCATTGTAACGTGCTCTCTCTCGTTTTGCTTACAGGACCTGCGTTTTGGGGACTGATAAACCCCCAATGGTCTTTGTGCAGCAAAGGAAGGAGACAGAGCCCCATCAACATCGAGCCTGACAAGCTTCTCTTCGACCGCCACTTGAGACCCGTGTTGGTCGACAAACACAAGGTAATTTATCCACCTTCGTTCGTTCCTCTTTCTTCCCTTTTTTCTCTCTCTCCCTCCCCTTTCTACCTCTCTCGTTGCGGTACTTTAACTACTGAAACGATTCAGAAACCGTAGAGAAGGATTCGACTTGAAATGACTCGAAAGTTTTTGATTCTCGCGGCTTTGTTTCAACAAAGATCCTTAATAAAATACCTTAATTAGTTCCTTTTTAAATTTAACGTAACGTAATTTCCTTTATTCGTTTCGAATTTTTAATACTCGGAAAGGGAAAATTTCAAACGAATACGAAACCGTAATGCGTGTGATATCGCGTATAGTTATTTTTTTTTTTTTTCGAAACGAAAAATCGAACGAACAAAAATAAATTTTATATCGATGAAGAAAGAAAGGCGAGGGATGGGAAAAGACTTTGGAGAAATAAAACACTCTCGATTCGTTGCAAAATCGATTGGTTCGAAGCGAAAATTAACATTTTTTTCGGATGATTTATTTTACCGGATATATCGCGGCGAGACGCGAGTAGGTTGCGCTATTCCCAGAGCTGTCGCCGGCTAGTAATGGATTTTGAATTCACTCTGGACCGTTCTCCACTTTCTCTCTGTCCATTTTTCACCGAGAGGAAAGAGAAATAGGGGTAGAAAGAGAGAATTCGTTAGTTCGATGATAAATCCATTAATTACCAATCTCTCCCTGTTTAACGTTCTCTTATTCATTCGTTCCCCATAAGTCCATAATAACAATAATCTTCATTCACGTAATTTTGGAATGTCAAAAATTTAATATTTTTTTTTTTTTATAGGCAGTTTGATTTAGATTAAGATAATTAATTACGATTCTTTTTTTTTAAACGAGTAGATATTTTCTTCGGAAAATATCGAGAAAATTTTATCGGTTTCATTCAGATGAAGGTATAAGGATACGAATACCAAGGATAGAATTTCTCTTGAATCTTATCTTATTACGCAATTTATCTAATCGTAATCCAAGTCGAGATTCGAGATCGAGCAGCCAATTCATCCATCGTTTCGATTTTCTTGATCGATAAAACGTAGTCGCGTATATTACCAGTTCATCGAGATATATCTTTTATAAAATAAAATAATCACGATCGAACAAATAGTACTCGGTGAATACTACGTTTCTTCGATATAACGTTCTTAACGATTGAACTAATCGAACTTAACAATTTCGAGATTGATTAAGTTACGAAAATGTCTTGAAATTTTCTATTGTTATTATATTTATAGATCGCTCTTCGATTAATCTTAATCCTTTCCACCACGCGCAATGGATCCCAATCCACCATCGAATAAAAGAAAAAAAGAAAAAAAAAATAATATATATATGGGTTTCTCATCGTCATTCGTTCCCTTCCGCTCTTTCGTCGGTCTTGTTTTATTATCGAGCGTGTGGATCTCGCTCGTGGAATTAACGCTGCGCCCGATTTACGCGGGCCTCCATTTCCCCCCTCCCTCCCTCCCTCCCCCCTCCCCTCCCTGCGATTGATGCGCCTCGCCGCCTCGTGACGAGCCACGAATAAATATTGTAAATCTCGTCGATGCGACTTGCGAACAACGCCGTTTGATTAATCATCGAACTGTAATTAATCGCCCAGTGAATGGCGCGAAGGCGATTTTATTCTTTTTTTTCTTTCTTTTTTTTTTTTTTTCCGTTAAATATTTTCATATTCGCGGAAGGGTAAAATAAAAGTATATATGTGTGTGTGTGTGTGTGTGTGTGTATAGGGAAAAGGAATGGATTCGCTTTGCCAGGTTGAATATTCATTCGAAGGAGGAGATTGAAATTCTACTTTTCAAATGCAAGGATAGAATTCGCTAGGGCCTGGAAATTTTCTTTGCAGGTATCTTTGATATTTCGTCTCGCCTTCTTTTTGGACGGAAGAATTTGTTTTAACGATTCGATGATATTCTTTTTTTTTTTTTTTTTGTTAAAAACGATTTTTTAAAAAATCGAATTTTGAATTTCTCTCGCCTTCGTTCGAAGGTGTTTCTAAGAAAATTATTTCTTCGAATTGTAACTTGCTCTCTGACGAATCATTCGATTATCCCGTAACTAATTTCATCTTAAGAGTCTTTATAATTTTAAGACTAAATCGTCCCGAATGTTTTTTAATTTATAACGAAAGATATAAGGCGTGCATCTCAATCTCGTTAATTTCAATAACAAATTTCATTTTGGGGTAAAGTTACAATTCTTCCTATTCATTGTCTCGCGATAAACGTTCGATTAATCGTCGAAGGAATCCGATTTACGAAAAATCTCTCAATCGAACAAAATATATAAATGGAGGGAAGATGGAGTTTTCTTCGTTACTATTATCATTATTTCTCTCCCTTTTCTCCCTTCATATCTCCATCGATCGATTAATGTTCTTTTCGTGGAACAACCTTATTCCAACCTTATTGCGTCTCTCGGATGCGTGGCTTTATCGCGTATTCGCGTGACGTAACGCGACACGAGAATTTCTACGTCTACTCGAAAGTGCAGTTGCGGAAATTGTTTTATGGAAATCGAGGGCCGCTTGTAACCGCTTGTGGAATAAACGTCGATACAGTTCGACAACAGCTCGAGAATATTTAGGAGGGACTGACGTACGCCATTACCGATTCTCCTCGATGAAAGGGAGGACGAATGAAAGAAAATTTGTTGGAGAAAATAGAGAATTTTCCAAGAGAGAGAGAGAGAGAGAGAGAGAGAGAGAGAGAGAGAGAGAGAGAGAGTATTACTTACGTAAGT